CCATGCGGTTAACATAGAAAGACAGACATCAGTACGAGTTTAAACGAACCGTAAAAGAATTCAACGAATCCTAAACATGAGCTCTATATATAAAAAAAAAAAACGCTACGCGAAAGTCTTAATACGAAACGTCCTAGAGACACTTGAACCCGGAATGCTCTGATACCAACTGTGATACCCCTTGGATCCGAGACACGGGTTGATCAGGCCCAGGCCCAAACCCGAGGGAATATCAAACAATTAAAGTATTTTAAAACGAACACAGATGACAAAAAGAAACAATAAAGATAGAATAAAGCTGAAAGAAATAATAATAATAAAACCCTCCATGTATAACTGAAAATTGAAACTCCAATCCTCCAAAACTTCAAGGTTACAACTTGGGAATCCACTGATGGACCCCTAACCAAAATTTTAACTGAAACTGAAAACTGAAAATAGATAATGCTAAAAATATCAAGAGAAGTCCTACGTAATCAGATGAAGGTGAGACTGTCCTCGACAAGCACGATCAAGCTCTAAGGCTGGAACCGTTCTGTACCTGAAAAGAATAATGAAGGAGTGGGTCAGACCCACGAGCAAGTTCTAATCTAGCTGCAATCCATACAGTGACCCGATACGCAGATACACCGTAGACACCTCACAATATCTATCTAGTCCATACGTATAAATATATCCACACTAAGGGACATTCACTAGTCTATAATAGGGGTCTTAACCTGAATAGAAGGCAGTATGCGAATACGCACCCAAAGGTGGGCATGAGTACCTAGACCTAACAGGGCACACCTCAACCTATTATGACCAGCTACGCATCCACTGCATATACGCACCCTAACCAACGAGTCTGAGACTCAAGCTCAACTCGTGGTACCATAAACATATATATAAAGTCCGTCCAAATCCAGGGTATGTAATTCAACTATTTATTAAACTGACATACAATAAACCAACTAGCTAGTCACTCAACCTATTCAATTGATATGACTTAACTACCATCCGTTAATCCAGAAAGTCATCCAACTTGGTTACAGCTGATCTGACTTAGTCACAATTAGGATTTTGATATCTTTCAATCCATTCCATTAATCCAATAGGTTAGGTTTATGCGTTTTGAGCTAAACCGTCCCTAGTATGTCACCGTCCCATACCAGTACATACAATCCTCCATATCCATGTAAATTACAACATATAACAGTTCAATAATTTAAAGACCAAAAACCACCATCCAAATAATTGCAGAAAAGTATTTAAGATTTCAGCAATTTAAATCCCAGAATTAAACCATGTAGTTACAAGAAACATTTTAATAGTTTACACAACTAGCATCCAAAGCATGCATAGACCCAATCCAATATATCAATGACTCTATCATGCATTTAGAACAAATTCTATAATCTTATTATAGTCCAACAAATTGCTAAATTAACCTAAACAATTTATTTCGTCCCATCCGATAACAGTGTATTAAATCATACGCTTTTATACTGTTTTATCTTTTATCTTAGAGACTTAAACCATGCATCAACTAGTTTAATCACACTTAAAATCAAGTAATTAAATCCTCTGTAAAGTCCCCACAATCCCTTAGAAACATTCAAAAGCTCAAAAAGTGCCCAGAATACTAAACAGTACCTTAAAAACTAAAAAAAAATAAAATAAAATCGTATATTGGAGAGGGAGCCTGCTCCAAATTTTGGGAGCAGGCTCTTTCAGCCTAGAGCCGGCTCTAGGAGTCCTTAAAGCCGGCTCTACTTGTTGTGGGAGCCGGCTCCCACATCTATGGAGCCGGCTCTCACCTCCTTTGAGAGCCTCTGTCCCTGTTGCTTCGTTTCAGTCCGTCTGCTCCCTCTCTGATCAGTTCCTACCACTCTGTTGGTTTCTAAAACTAATCTTAGGAGTCTTAATTTAGTCTAGAAGCATCCCCCAAGGTTGTTTACAATAATTTTGAAAACAATTACAGAATTTAATCAAGCCACTTAAACTAACATGCTTGGAAAACAATACTGGAACAGGTTTCAGAAACTTTCAGGTCTCTACTGAACCCTCTGTTCCTCCTCACCATTGAACCTACGGATCTTATATCAATCCCAATAACATCCCCATGGTTCATTTACAGAGTCAAAAAAAACATAATCCAAAGACTAGAGTTACAACAGAGCAACATGCTTAAAGAACAGAAAACTGAAACGAGCCATGCATGAACTGTAACAAAACAGTTTTCAACATAAACAGATCGTTCATATGACATATATTAAACATATATCTTCCAGTTATTGATCGATTAAACCCTAGAAATTATCTAGGTGCACAAAACACGAGCCAAAGAGAAGGAGAAAGAAAAGAACTTGCCTTTGAGTTTCAAACTTGAAACTCTAAATTCCCAGTTTCTGTATTGCCCGTTCAATTCCCCATTGCTATTCCACAAACCCACATTCCTTCTACCTTGCTCCCACCTATCCTTCCTCTCCTATCTCTCTCTATTCTCCCTCTGTATCCCACGGTCTCTGTTTTTTTTTTTTTTTACAGAAATTCCGTTTAACTATTCTAAAACCCTAAACCACCGTGACACACATACTTATAGGCTTAGTGATTAAACCCTAATCCATGTATAACTCGGGCCATAAAAACCTAGGTTATACTCACTGTCGGCTCATAAAGCTATCTAGGTTATAAGATACTCGGTTTAATACAGTAACTGATACTAATTTAGTCTATAATTTTATCTAATTAAAATATTTAAATAAACCAATTACACATTAGAAAGACCAAACCAATCCAAATACAGAAAACAAGAAATAATTAACAAAAAAATAAAATTCATAATTAAACAATAAATGCCAGTTAAACAATTAAAACATTTAAACAATAAATGCCAATTAAATACATGTCACATAGGTAAACAATTAAATAGAATAATTAAACCAAAAAAAATCACGTAAAAATACAATAAAAATAATAAATAAATGCCGAGACTATCCTTTTAAAATTAGGGGTATTACACAAATAGTGCCTTAACGGCTATAATTTTAAAAAAAAAGTTTATAAATTCAAATTTTACCTTTTTTTTTCCCCTTAAAATTTGGTTTTTTTTTTAAAAAAATCTGCTTTAAATTTTAAATGAGTAGGCCAAATAGTGTATTTGTTTTTTTTTTTTTTTTAATCCATAATGGATAATGTACTGTATCAAGTTCTAATATCAATCGTAGATTTTTTAATAATTTACAAAAATATTATTCGATTGAAAAATATTGCCGTTGAGCAAATATAGCTGTTTAGGAAAGGTTAAAAAAAATAATAATAATAACAATAATAATTTTTTATTATTATTTTTTTGGGAGAGCGAAAATTCGGAGAGTCTGATGGAGTGCATGTTTCTGGAGAGCGAAAACTGCTGACGTAACTCTTGAAATTACTAATGTGACTCTTAAAAAAACTGAGGTGGCGTTTTTAAAGAACCAAAATTCGAAGAAGCTGGTGAAGATGGCCTTATGTCAACCCATGACGTGGAAGGAGGAGACATATGACTCTTGGGGTTAGTTTGAGGGTTGTTTGAGACCTTGGTTTGTGGGATATTGTGTCATTTAAACATTTTGAGAAGTTGACTTGACTGGTTCACGTGGTGCCAAGGGGGTTGCATTTGAAGTACCTTTAGCCATTAGGTGGGTGGTTGAGTGTACCATGTGTATTGTCAGTCCTCTTTCCCAAAGGGGTTGAGGTAGCTGTGACAGTAGGAGAAGGGGGTGCAGAAGAAGTACCTGCAATGTGCATACCTGATTTTGAATTCAAATTCAAATTGTGGTGTGGGGCCTCTGCTTCCTCTGAATTGTGGTGGTGGATGTGGTGGTGAGGGGAGGAGCACTGTTCCGGTGAAAGAGCCATGCTTGACGCAGGAGATGAAGTGGCAGAGTTGTGTGTGGATTCATTTTCATCGACCTTAGCATATCCATCCTGGATGAATGGTTGGCATTGATGAGTGAGGCTCCTTGGTTATCAGAGTTCTCCATTTCAGAGTAGGCAATTGAGTGATTAGCATTAATGATTTGATCACTGAGCTCATTGATTCTAGCTCTCAGTTTGGCTTGATTCTTGAGACCATCTCCAATGATATCTCAAAGCCATTCCATTTCTTCAAGAAGGTATTTATACTTGTAGTTACTCTTGTACACCATCAAGTCAGTACGCAACCTGAAGATCTCATCAACTAAAGCTTGAGTATTAAATGGATCAATGTCCACCATAATGTTGTTGTGATCATCCCCATATTTGAAATGGGGAAAAACTGATTTCCCAAGAAAGGAAGGATGCAACTTTTTAATGGCTTTCTTCAGGGTTGGTGATGGTGGAACATTAGTGGGATATTTGATCGGCTGGGATGGTTTTTTAAGGATGGACTTAGGTGGTGGGGGTTGAGGATGGGTGTGGTGTGAAGAGGTTGATGGGTTAATTTTGGTGGGCGATCCATGAGGGGATGATGAAATCTTTGATGGTTGGTAAGACCTGTGATGGTGATTTTTGATTAAGGAAGTATGTGATGAATTATGGTTAGGCTAAAGACTAGAAAGAGTGCTGTGATTTGGTGGAAGGGAGGGAGGTTTGAGGTGATTAGGGAGGGGATCGATTCCGGTAGGATGGACGGCAAGTTTTGGGTGCTCTCATTGGTCTTTCTTTTTCACTCGAGGATAATGTGACTTAAGAAGATTTGATGTTCCTTACAAGGGAGCCTTACAAAAGAATGCGTGAGAGCTAAGAATGCATCAGTTTGTAGATGCTTCTGCTTTCTTTTCCTTTGAGAAGCAATTTGCCACTGTAGCAAAAGAGACTTTGAGAAGCTCCAATCACCATGAAATATGAAATGAGGAGACACGAACCAAGATATCCCTGTATACAGAATGCAAAAGGCAGGCAATCTTTACCTGCCTTCGAGGTTTCCAAACCAACTGAAAATGGAAGTCATTTGAGAGACTTTCGAGTAGAAATTTTGGAGTATATATAATTATATTAAACTTCAAATGTATTCAACAAGCAAATCATATGACACACAAAAATTTAGTACACCTCAATACAAGACCATCCAGCTTAATTATTAAATCAAAGCACATCAAAGCTGCTAAGATACGGCAAATAAAAGCCGAAACTGATCATGGCTTGTTGTTGGCTAAGGAACGCAAGTAGTTGAGAGTAGCTTGGAAGTAATTGGTCAGTTTTTCTCTAGGTGGAAGGCATTCCTTAATGAGTGGAATTTGGATGAAGTTTTCCGCCCATTCATGGAGGAAAGGAAATTTCTCGGCCTCAAGTAGCTTCATATTTCCGGCTTCTTCCATGCTGCCGAGCCAAAGAGGTATCCAACCCACTACCAGATCCATAAATCCTATCTCTTCTCCTCCAAAAAACTTCTTCCCTTCAATATGTTTCTCAAGAAATGCTAGAGATTCTTGTGCACACTGTATCGCCTTTTCTTTCTCTTCACCTTCAGCCTTGCAAGCTCCCCATGCACCCCAAACACACTAAACCCAAATAGAAAAACACAGATGTTAGACTTGTTAATGCTAAAACTAAGACTCATGTCACTATAATTAATTAAGTTATGAAATGTAAATTCAAGTTTAGCACTATATTTTAATATCAGTACTGTTACCAAAGAAATCCAAATCCAAGTTAGAAGTTAGAACTAATGGCCAATATCTGTGTCTGATGTGTGCAATCCATGTATAATCTGAATAAATACAAAATCAATCAAAATGTGTCTTAGATCAATTCATTTCATGTCGTGCTGATACTATTGAGAAACGTGCAAGGTTTAAAAACTTTTTGAGGAATTTTGATTCATAGATCTTGATTCATCACATAGAGACAAGTTTTATTCAAAAATAAAACATAATGTATCATTCAATTAATAAATTGAATACTTATATCAAATGTCTGAGTAAATCTTTAAATCTTTCATTTAAAGTGAATGTTTTCATTTATTGTAAATCCCTTAGTAATATGTCTTCTCCTTGGATCTCCATCTTCTTTGTAATTGTTTTGCCTTTAGGAATCACTCATAAGCCTCCATAAATGACCTTGGAAAGCTAGACTTGTGGGAGCCTCCATTAGATGAGAACACTAATCTTAATTTTCTAGAGAGAGAAAATATATTCCTTTTTTCCTTCTAAGTAAGAAAACCCCTAAAATATACATAAACCATATATATATATATAGGCAACATAAAAATAAGGAAAAGGAAACAATAAATCCTTCTCAATCTCTAATTCACATATCTCAAATCTAATATGATTCCAATATCAAGTTGGGCTATGAGTGAGAATCTTTTGGGCTTATTATTTTTATTGTCTATAACGAATTAATAATTGGCCCGGTCCATAGACCCAATTCAATTAATTCATAAATTAATTTCTACTCCACTAAAAGAAATTAATTGAACTCCAATTAAATAATAAATAACCTCTAAATCAATGTTGCAGTTTGACCCCTCTATGCATAATTAGTTATCGGATAAATAAAGTCATCAATCCGACTACTTAATTAATATATTTATTTTGGTACCATTGATTATACTTAGCTCCATCACAATAAAACATTTTTTTGACAAAAATAATAATTTAAATAAATAAATATATAATAAATCATTTTGTCTAAAAACACACGAAGGCCTTCAAATTTACTTTGTGATTAATCATAATCAATACAAAATAAATACAAGTAGCAATGATGCAAATATTGAAAATATAACCCTCTAACTATTAATTACATAACTACCCAAAGTGTCAGTCTAAGGATCCCGAAGTATCCGCCGAACAAATCAAAATAATTATTAATTAATAAAGGATTCTATATTTTTCTCATACTTAAGAGTCAAATGCCATGACAGTGATAGGGAGCAATTGCATACGACGGCTCTCACAATATATCTCAACCTAACGTGGATCCAGTTCAAGTCTTAATTAATTATGAGTCCATCCATAATTACCAATTATGAACCATTTATGATTACTATTTATACATTCATGTATTGATCGTCATCACATACATATATATAAATATCTCTTGTAATCAAATAGATACTATCAATTCCATAATGAATCGAAACATAATACATTAAATTCACCAATTGTATAAAGCATAAATATTGCAGATACGTCAGGAACATATGTCACTTTAATCCTATTAAAAATTTGTTATGCCAAGACATATAAATCCCAACAGATACAACTCAACTCAACAGTCTTTTCCCAACTATTTCAAGTCCGTTTCATTTCTACTGACTCTTTGGTATATATTTAAATGAATAATTGCATAGTTAATAAAAAGTTTTGAACTTCGATCACGTTTTTAAAACTAAACAACAATAATAAAGGGTAGTTTGTCAAGGGCACTTTAATTTATACAAATTTTATCAAATCCAAGATGAATCTTCTAAAGAACAACAATATCTGATCCTTTTTCTTTTCTTTTTCCCCCTTTTATGTTGGAATATAAAACTTACTGGTTTTCTGCTGTTGGATCAAACCCAATCCATTTCATGGGGAAAAAAATAAAAAATTTAAAAACAATAGAAAAATGAATCCAAATATGTACCTTCTCATCAGCAAACTTAGCCCAGAAACGAGCAATGGCTCTCTCATAAGGATCTTGAGGCAGTAAGGGGTTGGCCTTCCATGTCTCGTCGATGTATTCAAGGATGATAAGGGACTCAACAATTGGTTTGTCATCATGAACAAGCACTGGGACCTTCTTGTGAACAGGGTTGAGCTTGAGAAGAGTAGGACTCTTGTTTCTTACATCTTCTTCAATGTACTCATACTCAACACCTTTTAGTTTCAGAGCCCATTCAACTCTGGTGCAAAACTGGGTTGTAATAGCCCCAATCACCTTCACTTCTCCCATTCTAAGAAAATCTGCAAATCCAATATACTCAACTTCAACTCTCTAATACTGTGATGCTGATCTACATATATACTAGTATATAATTGATTTATTGTGAACCTTACTTATATATATTCTGTTTTTGTCTGTTTATAGTTTCTAAAGAATGGCTCTCTTTTACTTTTGGAAAGTAGTCTTTGGTGTGCTCCTAAATTCAATTAAAATTCATCTTTTATGTTGTGACATTTATGCATACTTGCAACAAAAATATCTGTCAGGATCGAAATATTATCGTAATAAAAAATAAATAATGAAGACAATGGATTTAACTTGTAATTTTCTCATTAATAATGAATGGACTTGGTTTCAACTCCTTATTTTATTTTATTTTGATGGTACTCAGCTGCTTTAATGCAACGAGTCTACTATCAACCCTGACCCTCCATTTAAGATCATCTTATCACTGTTACAGCAAAAAGTTGACTTTTTTGAGTTCGATAATTTGGAATTAATGCATTAACTCGGGCTTCAACTCGCTAACTCAGTCTAGTTATTCCACAAGTCTCTATTTATCCTTGGATCTACAAGTCTGAAATTTGGCAATCCTTGTTTTAGCTTTGATCAGATCAATAGTCCCTCATATCATGGATCTGTAAAATATATATATGTTTATGTAAATTTGAGTTGTGACTCTCACTGGTGACACCATAAAGATTAAATGACTTTTAGCATTTACTTGACTTTATAACAACTTTAAATATATGCAATACAAAGTACCTTGCCGACACGGAAGGATCCACATTGAAGGCTGGGGCAAATGCTCCCAGTGAATTTTTTATTTTTTAGTATTTTATCCTTATAATTTGTTCATTTTTAATAATATACTCATAAAATATTATATTTGTCCTTCTTAAAATTACTAAAAAAATACACTCCCTACCTTAAATCTTGGCTCCGTCAGTAATTGCTCATATAACCAAAAATCAAACATAAAGAAGTAGGGCAAAGACTAATCAACTTGACTAATTCAAGAAATACTCGAACTTCAAAATTTTCAAATGCAGGACCAAATTATAAAATATTAGCTAAGATAACAGAAAATGACATTTGAAATTAACTATTTTATTTTATTTTTCGGTTGTCAACTATGTTTGGCTGGCTTTTATCGTCATTATTCCACTTATCCTACTTTTGTTTTGCACCATCTTAAACAATCTGTAGACCATATGCATTTAGCCTTATTATTATTATTATTATCAAATTGCAACCAGTGGTGTTACAGCTTCTAGCAAGGTCCACAAATTCTCAGTGGTGTGATTTTCCATAGCTTCATTCTAGTTCAATATATTATTTAGAAAACGGCTTCTTGCTAAGTTTTAGCGTCTTGTTTGGAGGGGAGACAAAAGGAAGCAGTTTTGGTATTTTTTTTTTTTAGGTAAAATAAATATATTTTTATTTTTTGATATTTGGTAAAGGTTTAGATCTAGATCTAGGTCTAGGTCGAGGTTGAAATTTAGTCCATCAAGTTGGGCGTGTAAAATAACTTGTCAAAAATTAATGAGTAATGTTAAGTTTTAATATATATTTTTTTCGTAAATATTTTAAAACAAACAAACACTAAAAAATAATATATATATATATATATATATTCAAAAAAATATTTTACATCCTAACAAATGTTGCCTTTTAAGGTTCTTCTCTTGGAAAATTATGAAACAATAACAATACTACTGTTACATAACACAAGGCACTATTCATTGAGAATTCTGCAGAACACCATCTAAACCTTAAGTACACCGTTACATTGTGGTTTGTAGCAAACCTAGAGAGGCAAAAACAAACATACATTCATGGGCACTCATATTGATCAACCACTCAATTTAATCATCACATTTTTTTTTTTTTTTTTTTTTTTCTGCTGCTAAGGAACGCAAGTTATTAGCACTAGTGTGGGCATAGTTGAAGAATTCCTGTGTGGGAGGCATGCATTTGTTGATAAGTGGAATTTGGATGAAGTTGTGACCCCATTCATGGAGGAAGGGAATCTCTCCGCGTCAAGCAGCTTCATGTCTCCGACTTCTTCCATGACACTGATCCAAAGTGGGATCCAACCCAATGCTATGTCCAGATATCCAATCTGTTCCCCATTGAAAAACTTCTTTTCCCTCCCCTCAATTAGCTTATCAAGAAGTGCTAGTGATTCAAGCGCATATTCCATTGCCGGCCTTCTCCTTAATTTTCTTTTCCTTCGGCTAGGCAAGCTCCCCATACACTAAATATGCAGTGTCTCCAGATTTTAACAAAAAGAGAGGTCAAGAACCTAGCTGTGTAACTTACCCCAAAAAATTGAAGATACCAGGTCATAAAACAACTTTAGAGATACATATGTACATTCTGTGTGCACTTGGTGATGATGCACCTAATAAGTTGGACACGTGTTTAAATTTACCACCTTTGAAGGCATACCAATGCATTTTTCCAATTGTTCTTAGGAAATTGAAACGCTATTTTCTTGTCTATAACTTTGTGAATCACTAAGCCCCCCGGGGGATTTCAAATCCTCCACTAGTCCACCCCCACCAAAAATAAAAGGAACAGTAAATTGTAAAGTTTTCCGATAGAGATTAGGACTTATTTGGTTCGTTATTAAGAAAACAACACCATCTAAACATAAAACTGTAAAAGACACAATTGTCTCAAAACAGACATTCTATAACTGAGTTTTTAGAAAACAGAACCAGGCAAAATTTTTATAGTTTTTATAAAGTTTTCAACGTGACATACCTATTCAAGAAAAAAAAAAAAAAAAAAAAAAAAAAATCAACTCTAACCATGAATATTGCTTTTTACCTCCACTTTCCACATTCCTCCCTACAAACAAAAAGAAAATTAAATCTCTCTCTCACACACAAGACACACAAAAATTTACAAAAATCAACTGTCATCTAGACCTTAATGCAATGTTTTTTCTTTTTCCCTCCACTCTCTCCATTCCTTTTAATAAGTAAAATTAAATAAATAAATCAAATTCTCTCTCTCTTCCACTACAAGTACAGAAAGCGAAATGTGAAAGAATAAATCCATAAATGAAGTTTATCGAGTACATTTACCTTCTCATCAGCATACTGCAGAGCCCAAAAACGAGCCATGGCTCTCTCATATATATTGATCTTCAGGCAGCAGAGGGTTCTCCTTCCATGTTTCATCTAGGTATTCAAGGATGAGGAGTGACTCATTAATCGGCACGCCATTGTGCACCAGCACAGGGATATGCTTATACACAGGGTTGAACTTGAGAAGCATTGGACTCTTTTTTGTTACGTCTTCGTGTATGTACTCATACTCCACCCCCTTAAACTTTAGTGCCATTCAACCCGGCAGCAATACAGGCTCAAGGGAGCTGCAATCAGTTTCACTTCTCTCATCCTTACACACACACACACACACGTGTGTGTGTGTGTGTATATATATATATATTCTTAGTAAGCCTTTGTACCCTTTTGTGTTGTGTATTTATAGCAATCCTCCTCTATTTGCATGCATGTTTAATTACTGTATAGTATGTTGCATGCATGATTCTGAAAATAGCTTTTAAGTTGAAAAAACCAAAAGCAGCTTTTAAAAAGTCATTTTGAATAGGCTCTTAACCAGTCTGGTTTGATGCCAAACAAATTGAAAAGACATAAAAAAAATTTTGTGTCTATCACCATGGATGTTAAATCACTTAAATAGATAAGTCTAGACAATTTCATACTATTTTAGAGTAATTACATCTATATAAATCGGTGTAAATATCACTACTCAATTTTTAAATAATTTAAAACTATTGGTCCCGACCTATTGCCATTGGACATGTTATATATATATATATATATATATATATATATATATAAAGCTTACACATTTTTGACAAAATTATTTACATTGCATGTATAATGATAACTAGTGATCCAGATCATATAATAATTCCTTCTTGTCTTACTAATCTTACAAGTATTCAAAATTAAAAAGTAAAAAAATTTATACACATTTTAAATTTAAAATATACACGTCATTAATTTATATTGTGTCACATGAACCTCCTCATCACTTCCATATGGTAAAGAATGACGGAATATGGAGATGAGTTTTAATTGCAAAAAGGATATTTTGGTATATATATATATATATTTTCCCCCCAAAATGTAATGAAGATATTCAGGAGCAGCAAAACCGTTACCGAAGAAGCCGTACCTCTCCAATTATTATGAAATGATGTGACACTCACATGCTCAAAATTCCTACTCAAATCGGCTCATTGGAAACATTAAAAAGAAATACGGAGCATCTAATTGTTGAATTAAATAAAACCCATTGATTTGTAGCGTTTTATAGTAACTCCACTTCATTGTACATATATATTATATAATTGAAGGAATTGTATAAAACTCACTTCACTTGGTAAGAGCATATAATATTTTTTTTTTTATGGAAATAGTTTTATTTCTTGACAAAAATAAAATAATAATAAAGTAAGGATTACTGCAAAATACTACTCCGTATAAGTCAAGGGTGTTTAATTTAATTGGTCCAAAATAAAATAGGTATAATATACTGAAACAGTCCCCAAACTTCATGCAGATTATTTTACCACATTGAACTTGGAAGCTAAAAATTTAAATTCGTTAGTATTGGCTAATTTATAATGACAGTACAGTAATTTTATGGAAGAGTGATGACTAGAAATAACAAGACCATCATTTTTAAATGCATCGGTATTTTTTTGCAATTAGTGCCATTGTAAAAGTAATGTAATACTCACTTTTGCAATGACAGTGAACGTAAAAAAAAATAATAATAATAAAATAAAATGGCGTATAAAACATTGTAATAGAAAACTCAAAAAATTTAAAAAATTGTGGCCAATCAACGCCCACTGTGTTAATGCGTCACTGCTAACACTTCTCTCATAGAGCAAATATGTTTAACTTCAGAAACTAAAAAAAATTAAAAAATCGATCAAAGTTAACTAAATTAAAATTCAATCAAAATGTGATCAGGTTGGAATCGAATTTGAACAACACTACTTACTATAGTAGGGTTAGACTAGGGGCTTTTTTTTTTTTTTTTTTTTTTTTTTGGTTAAAATAGACTAGGGTTGATCTTTCAATAGGTTCGAATTGTCACCTTTAATTAAAATTAAATTTGACCGT